ACTGCCCTTCGGGACAAGGAAGGGAGGAAAATCGATATGCTTGTGTGCCGAGTTTATGCGGCCTCTGGGCTCGGCGTGCGCATATCAAACTACGAAGCAATACTGACACGTTACCAGTACTTTATCATGCAGAAGCTGGATAACGTCGCTTCCTCCCTTCCAGACCACCAAGCGGACCTCGCCAGGGTTTTCATAAAAGAGGCGATGCAGGTGGCGGTGCAACAGTTGTCTACTGCTCGACAGCATATATACACCGACTCGAGGGCCCTCGTCAATGCCATCTCGTTGCACCGACATGCGTGGCTGTGCAACTGTAATTTCCCTGAAGAGATGAAGCGCAGAATCGAGGAAATGCCATTTGATGGTACCGGTCTGTTCCATCAGAAGACCAACTGCAAGTTAAAGGTGATTCATGAATCACGCCTGACTGCGCGCCGCATGGAGCTCCCGCAGAAGCATAAGTGGCAGTGGCCTCGGTCTTCCTATCGGAACCAACAGTACTATCCTTGCCAGCAATACTACCCTCGCCAGCAATATCAGCAACGGCAGCGTCGGAGGCAGCAACCGCAACAACGTTTTTCCCAAGGCCGTCGATGCTTCGACACCGATAAGCGCCCGTGTTGACGGCCCGGGCTAACCATTCTCTCTTTTCCAACACCACCTTCCCTTCTCCCTTTTGGGGACCAGCTCCAGGGCCAACTCCCGATTTGGGAGTCCACTACATCTGATAGGTGGGTGTTATCTATCATTCAGTTTGGATACAGGATAGAATTCGATGTTATCCCTCCTTCGAGCCCGATCCGCTTTACACCTTCTTCATCAGTGCTACGCGACAAGGTCTCCCAGTTACTCCTCAGAGGAGCGATTCGACAATTGTCCTTCTCGGAAGGATTGCATGGATTCTATTCCAGATATTTTACAGTCCCGAAAAGGGACGGTGGTCTTCATCCGATTCTGGACTTAAGAACTCTTAATAAGTACATCAAACCAAGGAAGTTCTGGATGACCATGTTACAGAATATCCTTCCATTATTGAAAAGAGAGGATTGGTTCGCCTCACTGGACTTGAAAGATGCCTATTTTCATGTTTCTATCCATCCTTCACACAGACGCTTCATACTTTTTACTGTCAGGTCCGACCTGTTTGAGTTCAATGTTCTACCTTTTGGCCTGGCTACCGCCCCTCGAGTTTTCATGATGTGTATGGCGCAAGTGTGCGCACACTTAAGGACACGGGGAGTACAAATATACCCCTACTTAGACGATTGGCTAATCGTCTCGCAATCCGAACAAGGTCTTCTGTCTGATATACAAGTGACCTGCGCTCTACTCGATGCTCTCAGTCTGTGCATTAACTGCGACAAATCGTCCCTTATTCCCACGCAGGTCATCGATTTCATTGGGGCACAACTCGACTTGACATGGGAAAGAGCCTTTCTTCCACCAGAATGTCAGGATGCCTTATGCAGCCACATTCAACAGATCCGGCTACATGGGACAGTCCCAGCCTTATCCATTCAGAGACTACTGGGGCACATGGCTGCTGCAGTTGCCATTGTCCCGTATGCCAGGCTACATATGCGACCCATACAACTGTTTTTCAACACCACGTTCCACCCGCAACAAGATCCTGCCACCAAGCCAATTCGGATCCCGCCTGCAATCCTTCGCACTCTAACGTGGTGAACCATCCCAGGCAACCTGTCTATCGGTGCTCCGTTTCAACCACCTCAGCCAACGACAACTTTGTACACCGACGCATCCCTCCTGGGATGGGGTGCGGCATGTTCAGGACTTCGGGTCCAAGGTACTTGGAACCGATGAGAAGCAAGGAAACACATCAACTTCCTCGAACTTCTGGCAATTTTCAACGCCCTCAAGGCTTTCGAGACTGTGCTATGCCGTCAAGTTGTCCAGATTGCATCAGACAACATATCGGCAGTTTTCTATATCAACAAGCAAGGGGGCACAAAATCTCCAGCCTTAGCACGCCTATCGATGGACATTTGGGACTGGTGCATACTGAGGAACATTGTGCTCCTGGCAGTTCACCTGGCTGGAACTGACAACATCGAAGCAGATATGTTAAGCAGACAGATGTCAACAACCCACGAATGGGAGTTGGACAGACAAATTTGCGAGAAACTCTTCCGCTTGTGGGGTTACCCAGACGTGGACCTGTTCGCCACCCGGGACAACAGTCTGTGAACAACAGTCTGTGAACATACTGCTCCATACTGCTCCAGACCCAGGACAACAGTCTGTGAACATACTGCTCCAGAGCAGGCATCAGATCGGGATTGATGGGGGACGCTCTTACGATCCCGTGGAGCAGCATGACTTTTTATGCGTTTCCTCTGATCCCACTTCTGACAAGAGTGGTGGCAAAAATAGCCCAAGACAATGCCACAGGGATATTAGTAACTCCGTGGTGGCCAAGACAACCATGGTTTGCCACTCTGTTGCTGCTATCCAGAGGAACGTTTCTTCGCCTACCAACTCTTCCGCATGTGTTAACGCAACAGGACGGAGCAATCCGGCATCCGGATATAACCTCTCTGAAGCTGACGGCATGGCAGATCACTTGATACACGCCACTGAATCGGTACCGACGACATCTCACTCTGCGGAGGACCTTATTCAACAGGCGGTACATGCGGCCCCTACCTCGGATTCGACAGCATTCGCTGCGGTACCGATATCCACAGACCAAGAAATTCAGGCGATTCTCAAATCTGCATTAAGACCATCCACTCGTCGTTCCTATGTGGCTAAATGGAAAAGATTCTCCTCTTTTGCAGAGTGCCATTCTTTTCTTCCCGGAATGGCTTCAATCGACAATATTGTACAATTTCTCTTGCAATTGCATCATGAAGGACTCAAACCATCATCCATCAAAGTTTATGCACCGCCATATCCCATTATCATGGCATGGTCCACGGCTTATCCGTCTTCTCTCAACCGCTGGTTCGACGTTTCATTAGGGGATTGCAGAATCTACATCCATCTATCCGCCCTGCTATGCCAACGTGGAGCCTTTCCGTAGTGCTCCAAGTGCTTACCAAACCACCTTTCGAGCCTTTGGCAACTGTAGACTTACGCCTAGTGTCATGGAAAACAGCTTTTCTCGTAGCAGTAACATCAGCATGGAGAGCCAGTGAAATTTTGCTCTTCTCATAGACCCACCATTCCTGAATTTCCATAAGGAAAAAGTTGTTCTTCGGGTGGATATCTCCTTTCTACCTAAAGTGGCTACACCGTTCCACCTGAGTCAGGACATTGTTCTGCTGGCATTCTTTCCATCGCCTTCGACTCCGATAGAACGTGCTCTACACACGCTTGATGTTCGCCGTTGTTTGGCCTTTTACAGATCCCGCACTGAATCTTTCCGTACTACTAATAGACTTTTCGTTAAGTACTCCGAGCGTGACAAGGGATCACCGATATCAACTCAGAGACTTTCTAATTGGATCGTCCAGACTATTGTCCTGGCTTATCAGCTATTGAAAATAGACTTACCTGTCTTTCCAAGAGGTCACGCCACACGAGCAGTAGCAACTTCGTCTGCATTTGCCGCAGGGGTTCCGCTACAGGATATCTGCAAAGCTGCGACATGGGCTGGTCCATGTACATTCGCCAAGCATTACCGGCTTGATGTTCGTGCTAGGCAAGACTACTCTTTCGGTAGAGCTGTTCTTTCATCCGTTCTTCGCTGACAACACCTCCCTCCTCCGAATCTGGTAAGCTTGCGAATCACCCATATGTGTGATGCACAGAGGCCACGACGAAGAAAAGCAGGTTGCTTACCTGTAACTGATGTTCTTTGAGTGGCCATCTGTGCATTCACACAACCCACCCGCCAGCCCCACTCGGTGTCGATGAGTGGATATCGTTTCTCAGTACCATACTATAATTTGCATCGGTACCGTTGGGATATGCTGGTGAGTGGATATTGCTTCTGAGTGGATATTGCTTCTCGGTACCATACTATAATTTGCATCGGTACTGTTGGGATAAAATTGTGCTTGTCATTAACTTTATTCTTAACCTCTAGAGGGAGAACGTTCGTCTTCAAGACTGAGTAAAATGGCGGACAATCCGCTCTATTTATACCACGAAGGGGGAGGGGAGCGGAGTTTTCCCGCCAAAAACGGTTAGCTTTCTAATCTTCCGGCCTAGGCACTGTGCAGGCGCAGCACCCATATGTGGGAATGCACAGATGACCACTCGAAGAACATCAGTTACAGGTAATCAACCTGCTTTTCTAGGGCCACATCCTTCAGCTCCTTCCAGCTTTTCAAAAAGGCATTAGCAACCACTTAATAAATTGTTTCTTCTGCTTCTTTTCTCACAGAATGCAGTATGTTTAGCATCAAAACTGAAATCGCCTACTTAACTTTATAGGTTGTTTTGTTGTGCTATGATATTCTAAAAGAATGGACATGCTGAAGGACTATAAATAAAAGTTTTAAAAATTTGTGAAATGGCTTTGCCATGGTTGTGATGGGGGTAGGAGAAATCTTGCATTTCTTTTTCCATAGTGGCTATGTACTGCTGGGGTGGGTGGGAAATTGCTTAGTCCTTAAAACATGAAACTGGTGCAGTGTCCTTTCAGTTTTTCAAAGTGACATTAGGAGTCACTAATTTGTTTGCTTTGCTGAATTAGTCTTAGAATGCAGCACTGAAGTCACCTCCTGAACTTGGTTCTTGTGTGTTTAAATAAACATTAATGTATATTAGTGTGTTCCAAAAGAGCAAGGAATCTAAATAAATAAATATGTGAAATCTTTTTGTGTGGGTGGAGGAGCCCAACTCAGAGCCTGTCTTTCTACAAGGCAAGGAAAGGGAATCTGCTCAGTGCCCTTTTACTTTCCTGTGAGCAGGCTTCCTTTCTAGCAGCCATGCATGTTGGCAAACTGAGCGGGAAGTTACCAGACAAAGGACTGCTTCCAAATTAAGGAATTCTGAAATGCCACCCTTTTTATTTTAAAGAAGAAGAGGAAAAAGAAGAAAACTGTTGTGTGCAGGTCAGTTACATGCCTGCAATGAACAAGAAGCACTGGAGGAAGGGTTCAAAGCAAAGGGAGAGAGAGACAAGGAAAGAGCACCTGAGCGCATTGTCAAGGACCTCCTCTCCTTGGGTGGATGCAAAGCACGCCTAACCTAGGTGTGGATCATAGGCTACAAAACTGCAAGCAACAGAATCCAGTACACATAGTGTCAACTGCCAAACAGAGCTCTGTGTGGAAAACCCTTGAGCCCAAGAGCATACATTCTTTTTAAGTAATGGCAAGTAACTGCATGTGTTTTTTTTTTCTTCATGTTTCATCATCTTCCTCCAGAGCCTGCTTGGCCAGCACTTTTAAGTTTCTTATGGTTCCTTTTCCCCTGGGGGAACTCCAGTCTGGTTTAGAATTAAGGAACCCAGCCATTCACAACTGGCAGTGAGCTGAAACTCTTCTCATATTCCTGCTCCAAAGAAACTAGAGGTCAGCTAACATGCTCATAAGCTGAGTTTTAGTATATGTGGGTTCAGAGTCAGAGAATGGAAACCACAAAGGAATGCTGATAGTTTAATAGTTTAAATTAACATATATGCCCTTAAGTATGTACTAATCATCCATTATGCTATATCTAACTTTTGAAGTATAGGAATGCACTCAGACCTTAATATCACATACACAACCATACAATTCCTAGCATGGTGGTGATTATCATTAATATGACTAAAATGACAATATGTAAGAGAAGTATTGTTTATCCTAGCAAATGGTCTGCTTCATCCAGAGCCACTTACTCCAGGCTTAGGACTGAGTGGTCAGCTGTGCCTTTTATAATATATTCAGTTTTGTCTTTCACAGGGCAGCTGTTGCCTTACAGTCATCTGAAAGAGATGGTTATGCAGGGCCCATTGTGACAACTGCACCCAAAATGGCTGCTGATCAACACCAGCTTTGGGGAAAATGCTTCTGCCTTGAACTTACTGTTGCCAAACACCAATACTGGAAAAGGTGCTTATTCAAAAACACTCCGTTACCTCTGAGTTCACTGAAGCTGCACATCCATATCAGATAGTGGGTCATTTCTTTGTATAAGCTCCCAAACAAGCACAATTGGGTAAGAGACCTGTTCCCCATTTAAAATGCATGACAGGTTTTTCTCAGTTGTCAACTAGTTTTGAAATGGTTTATTAGCCAAACCATGGACCCCTCTCACATAACCCCATGACATTTACAGAGAAGAGGAAGCAAGAGTTGCACTTGAGTAAGTCATTGCAGAAGCTGAGAGCAGTTTAGTGCTTTTGCCTCCTGCAAAAGCCAAAGGAAAAGGGAAACATGCTTTCTCTCTCCCTTTTTCTAGTGGACAGAAAATTCTTTTAGGATTTTGTTTTATTCATTCAGAAAGCCCCAAGAGGGGAAAGGAAATGGACCATTCTTCGCCCCATTTCCCAGCTCTCCGAGGAATAAAGAATGCTCATTTTCACTGGGGAGTGTGTTTCAGAAAAACTGCAGGAAGTGTATCTGGGTGGTTTTGATAGAGCATGAGTGCAAAATGCATCAGTGCTTGGACACCTCATATACTCCTGCAATCATATATCAAATGCACAGAGTCAAACTGCTTCATACTCGGTGTTAATCAAACTGTGTTAACCATCTATACAGATCTGAATCCTTTCTACACTCATACATCATGTTTGTGTGTACAGAGGGAGCCAAAGGAATGGGTTTACCTGACTATACTGTGCATTTGGACTGTGTAATGCTGATTGATTCAATGGTTTTTCTATGCATTCCATGCGCTTTCCTTCTTCCATTTTTTTGCTTTCCCAAAAATGGTTTGTCAGATCTACATGTTACACAGATAAGAGACATGTAAGGGAGAGTGAAATTCCTGAGTTGCCTCAGGTCCTTTATCACCCAAACTCTATTGTACCCTCCCATTGATGAATATCAGGAATTAGGGAGCAAAGAAGCTCAAGAGTGTATATTAAAATTCAGGCTAGTGCTGGACAGGTTGCCAGGTTTCTGAAAGATTCAGTTTCACCTTCCCTTTCACCTTGGGGAACAAAATGTTAATATTTAGCAGCAACAAAAAAAGGCTGAAGAATTTGGCTCAGGCACAGAGCATTTTCTGGCATGCATACAAAAAAAAAAAAATCCTGGGTTCAAAAACAAACAAAAAAAGCTGCTCAGTCTGGAATGGAAGACAAGACTCGGTCAAATAGTTCCTGTAGTCCAAGCTGGTCATATACAGCAACTTTCCATGTAGTACATGGTTTCTTACTTCAAGGGGATTCTCAGCAACCCACTGTCTTTCATATTTACTGAACTCTGCTCACAGTAGTTGGTTTGTTACTGGAAATAAGCAAGGTGTATGGGCAGAAAAGAAAAAAGCCTCTAGGGATGAATCACTCTTGTTCTCCTGTCCCCCACTTTCTTTTTCATTAACTACATGGTGTTGCCAGCTTCTGTACTGATTATTGCATCTGTACCTTCAACAACAGCTTTGTGTAGATATATAAACAAGTGACAACTGAGGCTCTTTAGCAAACTGTTGCAGTGTGGGACGCCACATTCAGAGTTCTAGCCAGCCATGCCCTTTACCAAGTGATTCCACTCCATGTTCCCCTCTAGGGCTCACTGGTTATGCTGTGAGTTGGAGGGGGGTTCCTGTCTAAGAGTACATAGGATTGTGCCCTTGAGAGTTCTGTGTCAATAAAGCAGGCCCAGCCTTTATGTGGTTGTTTAGGGTAGACAGTTGCTATAATGTGTTTTTCTGCTGTTGCAAACCTGATTGATGGATTGATTGATTTATATCTTGCCTTTTTCCTACAAAGGGTTCAAGGCAGCTTACATCTCCTCCTCCATCTTATCCTCACAACAACAACCCTGTGAGTTGTTGTGACTTCTGCGACTGGCCCAAAGTCACCCAGCTGGCTCCATGGCTGAGCAGGGACTAGAAGCCAGAGCGTCTGAGTTCCAGTCCCATGCTCTTAACCACTACACCACACTGGCTCTGGTGAAACCTTAGAAGTTAATACCTCCCATCCAATACATCAGTGGTAGATATATGTGTGTGTGTGATACTTATCCCTCTACTTGGAGGGGGAAAAATCACTTGCTGATTTCTTTATGTCAAGCTGCTGTTAAATAACAGGACAGTTATTTTCCCTGGTTAGTTGGCAACCCCATTCCCAGAATTTAAAAAAAGTTTCAGAGATTTATTATTGTGGGCTTGGTTTGGAGTCTACACAGCTTCACTCAAAATCTTATCCCAGGATGTGTATGTTATTTACCTTGGCTCACAATGTAGTAATGGGTGATAGGAAACAATCCAATATGTGAAGAATTTGAAATGAAATCTAAAATGAGGTTCTCGATATGTGCTTGTTTATTTTTCTGACTGATCAAATTAAGTCAGGTGTTTATCACCAAGAGCCCACTCAGAAATGCCAAACAGATAACAAATATTTTTGGTCTATTTCGTATTCCTTTATCTCTAAGATAAGCATGGCAAAACTGATTATATCAGATTATGCAAACATTGCAAAGCCCAGAAAGTGGGAGGAAGGGGCAGTGAACTCAGCTAAAACAAGTGTGGAGGGGAAGTGGGAAAGGCAGTGAACGTTCTTGGAGCTCAAAGGAAATTAGTTTTTCAGCCTTGCACATCCCTACATGGGAATAGTACTTGTAGAGAGAACCGAGGTTTACATCAGAGGAGGCATCCAACAAGAGGCAAGCCCTCCTACACACACACACACACACACGCGCGCCAGTGCACTCTCCCTCTTCATCTCACTTCCCTCTCCTCTCCCTCTGCACTGGTTCATCTCTTTCTGGCTGACTTGTCCCCAGTGCTATGCCCTTCACTTGAGCGTATCAAAGGACAAATCCTGCTCTGAAGAGAGAGTTGAGATGCTACACAGACAAATGCCAAGGAATGATTCTCCCTTGCACAGGATTGAGTTACTTACCTCAAAGCAACTCCCATGCAAAATATGGCTCCCATCCATCAACCATTCTGTCAACTCACCCACACAGACTCTGAAATGCATCATATAGACATGTAATGTTACAATTGGTCTAAATACCTCCTATATATAGTGGCAGAAATAGCAAAAGGAGCTTTCTTTGGGATAATAGTAAAAATCCAGAGGAATGATTTCCCTCAGTTTGATGTGGTGGATTAACATAACTTTAGCAGAGGTTCCCTAATGGCTCATTAGATGCAAAGAAATTCTCAGTTATTTTATTTATTTATTTATTTATTTATTTATTTAAAACATTTCTATGCCGCCCCCATCGCAACAAAGCCTTGGGGCGGCTCACAAAGAATACATAAAACATACGAAAATAATAATAATATAACAATTAAAAGAAGAAAAATAACATTTTAAAAACCCCCAGTGCATTCTCAGCTAAAAATTTTAAAATCCTAATTAATACAATAATTTAGCCATTAAAATAAGTTTTAAATAAAAAGGTCTTAGCCTGGCGCCGAAAAACAAATAACAATGGTGCCAGGCGGACCTCTCTGGGGAACGCATTCCATAGATGGGGCACCACCGCAGAGAAAGCCCTCCTCCGGGTACTCACCCTCCTAATATCATTCACAGAGGGTTCCCAGAGAAGGGCATTCGTTGCTGATCTCAAGGGGCGGGAGGGCATATATGGGCGCAGTTCCCATTGTGCCACTTCTTTGGCCCTACTCTTAGGATCATTAGGTCAGAAAGACACTGAAAATTTGTTGCACTCAAATGGGCTGCATTTTTCCATGTCTATGCATCCTTAGTCGAGACAAGTCTACCTATAAAAACACATATAAAATGTCTGTTAATTCAAGTTGGGGTACAGTTCCATGGCTTCTGACCTCCATACATGTAAGCATCCAGAGATATAGACTTATGTACATTAAGCGCGACAACAGTGAATTTCACAAATTTCCATTCTGACTTTTAATCTAGATGGGCATCTTCAGCCATCTAGATGATAGACTGTAGAAGAGGAGGAAGGAAAGGAAGTTGGGGCATCTGACACTCCTTTAGTCTTCTCCAAGGCCAGTTCCAAACTCAAAGAGGCAACTGCTGTGGTTCTTTTTGCACTAGCTATTTGGGGCACAAGGCAAGGGCTTGTGTTCAGGGTCTAAGGTCTGAGTTCACAGGACCTCAGAACTACAACTCTAAATAAGCCTGTGTCGTCTCCAGACAATGACAGGCGGGGATAGGATTGGACTCATGTATTCTACCATTCACCTGCTATAAAACTATTCTTTCAATTTTTGTTGTTCTTCTCTTACTTTGAAAACTTGTATTTTTGGTGCTGACCTCATAAGAGTTTAGTATATCATTCATAGCATAGCTATCCTTTCTAGACCTACTATATGTTAATGTTTATAAGTATTTACGCATGCACATATGATGCCTTTTTCATAGAGTAGGTGTTTGATCAATGATAAAAAAACAGGGTTTGTCCAAATGTTTTCATAAGTTTCCTACATCCCAGTTTTTAAAACTCGTATTCTTCATCGTGGCCTCTGTGCATCACAAATATGGGTACTGCGCCTGCGCAGTGCCTTTGGCCGGAAGATTGATAGCTAACGGTTTGGTGGGAAAACTCCACTCCCCTCCCCCCTAACAGTATATATGGTGTGGAGTGTCCACCATTTTCCAGTCTTTGCGACCACCGTTCGTTGTGCCTCGTGCTGCTTCGCTTAGATCATTATTCGTTTTTCCCTTCGCTTTGTCGAGTTCTCTTTCTCTCTTCCAAGTTAGTATTCCCTCTTTCATACTGCTCTTTAGTGTTCCAGTTAGTCTCTTCGTTTTTCCTCTTTTTCTTGTTCCTATAAAAAAATATATATTATCTGCTCCCTCTATACTATCTTCTTTTTTCCTATTTTCTGCGATGGCACAATGAGCGGCGTTCCGCAAGTGCAGAGAGTGTGACTCTAAGATGCCCGCTGGGGGCCCACATGACCTGTGCCTCCTCTGTTTAGGGGAAGGCCACAGGAAGGA